CACACACACACTCTCAGCTCCTGGTCTGAGGTTATGTGTTGCCTTGCTTTCTCAGGTATGCTCCATATGAGCTTTTGCCTCAGACAGCAGCCGGCAGCAGTTTTTTTCATTTCTCTTTAACAAAAAAGAGATCCTGACCCCAGCCCCTCGTTTCTACAGTGACTTTGGCACTATTCCTTGCTGCAGGTGGAGAACTTTTAGTCTCCGTTAACTTGCAGGAGCTGAACCCATCGCTGCCTCTAACTGCTTAAACCTGGGCTCTAGTAGGCCCTCACTTCAGCCCTACTCACGGCTTTTATTAACAGGTTTCTTACATTTATGGCCCATAGAGATGTTTATCTTGCTTTTAAACCAGTATATGCTTTGAAAATGTTCTCTTTTTGCATTTTTTCAATTATTGCTGTGTGCTCACTGTATGTAGGGTATCTCAAAGCATGGACTTACAAGGACTTACAATGCAATATTGAGCAGAAGACCTATTAATAACTTGAAAATTTTAATGCAATCCATTACAAACCAACCTGTTTCCTTTTCATTAGGAAAATTTACATGTCGTCTAAGTGGAGGAATCTAGGAAAGGTTTCTCAAATCCTTCTCTTCTCCGACTACTTTCTATCTCATCTCTCCCATTTGTGGCTTTTTGCTTCCCCTTTCCTTTCCTTTTCCCTGCTCCCTGACCCCCTCTTCTTCTTCCTTCTCTTTCCTCTTCTTCTTTTACTTTTCTTCTCTGACTCTTCCCCTCCTGGATTTCTCCTGTATTTAGGTCATTTTCTTATGGTCTGTCATCCTCCCAGTGTTGTCCCAGTCCTGTTAGCCAGGTAACAGTGAGGAGCAGATGTGCCTCATGTTTATATGAATCAGGGCTCCACTCAAGGGAAGGGCTGGCCCTCAGCGACATTATGATATACAACTCGGGAAATAGAGCCAATATTTTATAATAACTATAAATGGAGTATAACCCTTAAAAATTGTGATTCACAATATTGTACGTCTGTAGTTTATATAATATTGTACAGCAACTATACTTCAATAAAGACTTAGACATTGAAAATTATAAAACATGGATAAAAAATAAAAGAAAAATTAAATAAATGTGCAGACATCCCATGGTGATGGAAAGACTTAATATTGTTAAGACGGCAACAGTATATAATGCAACCTGCACAATCAGTGTGATTTCTCTGCAAATTCCCAGAAGCCTTTGGGAAGAAATATGCAAGCCGATCCTCACATTCATATGGAATTTAAAGGGACCCCAAGGAGCCAAAACAACCTGAAAAAAGAAAATGAAAGTTGGAGGCTCACACTTCCCATTCTCAAATGTTAGTACAAAGCAACAGTAAAACTGTGATACTGGCATAAAGATATACGTATAGATGAATGAAATTGAATGGAGAACCCAGAAAAAAATCCACCCACCTGTGATGAACTGATTTTAGACAATAGTCAGCAACATTAAATTCGGGGGAAATGGTGTTTTCAACAAATGGCGCTACGCAATTGGCTATCCACATGCAGAGGAATGAAATGGACCCTTACCTCATACCACATATAAAAAGTAACTCAAAATACATAAAAGGCTTAAATATAAGAAGTAAAATTACAATCAACACCCTGTATCCATGGGTTCCATATCCATGGATTCAACCAACTCCAAATTGAAAATACTAAAAAAAAAAAAAAAGAAATTCTGAAAAGTTTCAGAAAGACAAAACTTGAATTTGCCATCTGCCAGCTGATATTTTCATAGCATTTACATTGTATTTACAACATTTATATAGCATTTACATTATATTAGTGATTATAAGTAATCTAGAGTGATTTAAAGTATACAGGGAGACATGCCTAGGTTATATGCAATTACTATACCATTTCATATAAGAGACTTGAGTATACACAGATTTTGGTATGCCCGAGGTGCTCTTGAACCAATCTTCCACGGATACTGAGGGATGACTGTATAAACTCTCCAATAAAACATGTGGATAAATCTTTACAACCTAGGATTTAGCAATGTTTCTTAGATTGGACAGCAAAGCACAAGCCACAAAAGAAAAAATACACAAATTGAACTATGCATGGGGAACTATGTTCAATATCTTGTAATAATTTTTAATGGAAAAAATATGAAAATGGATATATGTATGTATATGCATGACTGGGACATTGTGCTGTACACCAGAGATTGAGACATTGTAACTGACCATACTTCAATTTAGAAAAAGAAAAAGAAAATGAAATTTAAAAAATTTGTAGAAATCTAATTACCTCTGCCCCCCAAAAAGGTGTGATTTCAGAAAATGAAAATACAGCCCACAGAATGGAAGGAAATATTTGCTCATTATATATCTGATGAATCGTTATCCAGAGTGTATCAAGAACTTTTACAACTCATCAATGTAAAGACAAACAACCTAGTTTTAAAAATGGTCAACTTCAATAGACCCTCCTCCACACAAGACATACAAATGGTCATCAAGCAGATTAAAAGATATCAAAAATTAGTCATGATAGAAGTGCAAATTAAAAACCACAATGCAATAACTCCTTCAAGCACTCTAAAATAGTTATAACCAAGAAAACTAAAAATAACAAATGTTGGTAACAATGTAGAGAAATTGGAACCTTTAAAAATTACTTGTGGAAATTGAAAAGGATGCAACCTATGCTTACCATATAAATATACAATTAGCATATGGTTCAACAACTCCCCTCCTAGATACATACCCAAAAGAAGGGGAAACAGGTGTGCACATGTACTGATAGCAGCACAATAGCCAAAAGATAGAAGCAATGCAAACGTCCGTCAATGGGTAAATGGATAAACAAAAGGGGACAGATCCATAAACGGCCATATTATTTTACCACAAAAGGAATAATGTAAAATGGTGCAGCCTCTGTGGAAAACAGTACGGCGGTTCCTCAAAACTTAAACATAAAAATTAACATATGATTCCTCAATTCCACATCAGGGTATATACCCAAAACACTGAAAGCAGCGGCTGGAACTGATACGGGTACACTCATATTCTTGGCAGCATTAATCACAATAGCAAAAGGTGGAAGTGACCCAAGTGTCTACCGATGGATGAATGAATAAACTAAATGTGGTATATACACAAAGGAATGCAACTCAGCCTTAAAACTAAGGAAATACTGACACATGCCACAATGTATATGGGTCTTGAAGTGATTATAAGTGAAATAACCCTGTCACAAAAGGACAAAAATTATATGATTCTACTTATATGAGGTATCCAGAGAAGTCAAATTCAAAGACAAGAAAGTAGAATGTGGCTGCCAGGGGCTTGAGGAGAATGAGTGTTTAATGCTACAGTTTCACTGGTGGAAACTGAAAAGTTCTGAACATGGATGGTGAGGATATTTGTACAACGATATGAATGTGGTTAATGCCATAGAACTGTATACTTAAAAGGGTTTGAATGGTAAATGTTATGTACATTTAATCAAAATGAAAAAAGTGGATGAAAGACTGATACGTGTTACAACGTGGATGAACACTGAAAACATCCTAAGTGAAAGAAGCCATACAGAAAAGCCACCCAGATCCTATTCATACTGTGCGCTTTAAATCCATGAAGGCTGTGAGAGTGAGGGAAAGTACCAGTAACGGTTCCAGAAAAAGAAAGCTGGATGGGAATGGAAAAAGACATTTCCCTAGAGTCGAGGCAGCGGGCGAATGTTGAAGTGGGCCTGTGCTTTGGATTATAATGTGGAAACCATAATAATTTTCTCATTTGGAGGTTATGTGCTGGTTGCCTGGGAGAGTGTCCCTGTTTTGGGTAAAACACACTGGAGTATTTTGTGTGAAGTGGCAAATGTGGTAAAGCAAGGACGGTTGGGAAATCTGAGTGTAGAGATAAACAGTACTTAGTACTGTTGTTGCAAATTTTCTGAATTTGAAATTAACTTTCCAAAACACCACGTCAATACCACTCCAGAAAACCAGAGAAAACATCCCGTTTTCTTACAGAGGCCAAGTCTCACACAGATCCAGTTCACACAAAGTCACGAACCTAATCTCCCTTGTAGGAATCCACATACAATTTACAGGCACTGTGGGAAGATTATATTAGGAGCTACTACGTCTTCAGTGTTGTGGATGACCTGGATGTGATAGAAACATTGGGATTTTTGAGGTCCAATTTTCTAACATCATTCCACCAAAAAACTATTAGACCTAATAAATGAATTTAGTGAAGTTGCAAAATCAATACACAAATATCAATAGCATTTCTAAACACTAATAATGAACCATCAGAAAGAGAAAGAAAACAATCCAACTTAAAATTGCATCAAAAAGAACAAAATACCCAGAAATAAATTTAAACAAGGACTTGAAAGACCTGCACACTGAAAACTTTAAGATACTGATGAATAAACTGAAAAAACACAAATAAATGGAAAGATATCCCAAGTTCATGAAATGAAAGAATTAATGTGGTTAAAATGTCCATACTACTCAAAGCAATGTACACAGTGAATGCAATGCCTACCAAAATTCCCATGGGTTTTTTCCCCATTGAAATAGAGCAAATTATCCTAATACTTGTGTGGGACCACAAAGGACCCCAAATAGCCAATGCGATCCTCAGAAAGAACAGGCTGGAGGCATCTCGCTCCCTGATTTCAAACTATATTGCGAAGCTACAGTAACCAAAATGTGTGAAACTGGCACAAAAACAGGCACCCGGACCAGAAGAACAGAACAGAGAGGCCAGAATTAAACCCTTACGGAGGCGGTCATTTAATTTATGACAAAGGTGCCAAGAACACACCAAGGGGAAAAGACAACAAACAGTGCTGGGAAAACTGGACGCCACATGCCATCTACGCGGCACACAAAACTGACTAAAAACCCAGGTTTCCACATCAAGCCCTTCCTGCGTCTTGCGCAGACGGACCCCCCCCCCCCCCAGCGGTCAGCTGTACGCAGGAAGTGTCTCCTCACTTTTCCTCACGTATCACGTTTTTCTCACCTTTTCCTCCTGGCGGTGCCTCCCCGGGCAGATTGTGAAGAAACCCAGCTCCTGTCAGCATGGATGCAGCCTCCTGTTGTCCTGAAGCCGAAACCTCAGCGGGTCCTAAGATAATGAACCCGGGTTCCAGGGACGCTGGCCCCTCGGCATCCCAAAGCAGAAGCCCCAGCTTGCCTCAGCAGACAGAACTTTCAGCTGTGCAGAGCTAGGTCCTCGGTGGAATGCGCGTGCGCTGTGAGTCAGAGAAGCGGCTCAGCGCCCCCCCTGAGGTCAGTGCTGGAAGTGCAGGCCACACCTCACTCACAGTTCACTGGAGACACTGCCCCCTGCTGGCTGAATCCATTAAACTTTGGAAATTCAAACTGAAGTGTAGTCAAATATCCCGTAACTTCCCCTCAAATGGGTAAGGAACATTTGGAAACCCGATGGAATGAAATGAATGTAGACGTAAACTTTGCAACTTACACCAAATTCACTCAAAGTTATTTATAGACAAATATTAAAAGCAAAACTATTCAAAATTACAGAAGAAAATAAGAAAATTGGCATGAGCTTGGTCACACAGATCGAGTTTTGACTTTTAAAAGGCAAAAAAGCCAATATACAAAAAGCAAAAAATTAATAACATGTATTTTATAAAATTAAACATTTTTACTTGGTGAAATAACCTTATTCAAAACACCAAAACACAAGCAAACAAGTGGGAGAAAATTATTTGCAAAACACATACCTGATAAAGAATTTGTGTTCAAATTATACAAGAACTAAGAAACAGACAACCACATTAAAAATGGGTAAAGATCTGAACAGATACCCAGCCAAAGAAAATATACCAATAATAAATAAGTGGACAAAAATATGATCAACATCATATACCAGTAGGGAATTACACACATTAAAACAACAAGACAGTGCTGCACACCTATTAGAACTGTTAACCTCCCCCCAGAATGACAATACCAACTGCTGGAGGATGGGGAACAACAGACGCTCTCTTGCACTGCTGATGGAATGTATATACAGCCTCTTGAAATATAGTTTGGTAGTATTTTCTACAGCTAAACCAGTTTCACATCTTGAGATCCATCAATCATGCCTCTAATATTTACATATCTGCTTTGAAAAATTATATCCAAACAAAAACAAGGATGCAATTATGCACAGTAGCTCTACTCATAGTGTCTGAACCTTAAAGGAATCAGGATATCTTCAGGGGATGAATGCAGAAGCAAACTGGGGTACATCCATGTGAAGGGGAGCAGAATATGACCCCCCAAATGTGGAATTTCATGAGACCCCAAAGAGCTAAAACAATTTTAAGAAAGAAAATCAAAGTAGGAGTCTCACGCTTCCCATTTTCAAATGTTAGTACACAGCAACAGTAAAGAAAACGCTGAGATAGTGACATAAAGATATACAGTGTGATGTGACTGAAGGGAGTGTCTCCTGACTTTCCTTGAGGAGAGGGAGAGTGAGGGAAGAAGCTAATCTTTATTAAAATATGTCTTAGGTCAGGCACGGAGGTAGAGGGATTTATTATATGCCTTTCATTTAATGTTTAACAACAATCCTGTGAAGTATATACTATTATTATTACTATTATTCCTTTCATATTACAGACAAGGCATCTGAGACTCAAAAAGGTTAAGTCATTTGCCTAAGTTAATATGTGAAGGAACTGGAATCAAAACATAGATCGGTCCACTTTTTTCTGCTATACAACAGTGTCATGGACATTTGACCAATGATTAAAAAGATGATGATCTAAAATTTCTGACTTTAGGAAGAGGCAGGGAGCTGATTATGAGGGTCAAGTTAGAGGTGAGGGGAAGGGCTTGGAGCTTCCTCAAAACCCTTGAAATAATGCCATGAAGGCAGCCACATGCTCTGTGCAGGGCTTGGGACCCGTACCTGTAGTTCCTCCTGGACAATTTCCTCCCTATCTCCAGACTGTCCTCAACACCCCTCACGCAGGGAGAAGCCAGCTCTCTGGGCATGGTGTGAGGCCTGCATCCTGAGGAGGGCGCGGCCTGCATCCTGAGGAGGGCGCTCCCTGCTCACGCTATCTCAGTCCTCTCCCCAGGACACGGGCACATGCAACACAGGCTTTCACTTTTGACTTTAATGGAAACAACAACAACAACAAAAACACCACGGAGACGTTTAAAATACTCACATACAGCCTAGGTCCTGCCCATTTCTGGAGCAAAATTCCAGACAGGGAAACCTTCTATTCTTTTTTTTTTTTTTTGCTCTATTTTCCCACTTTATCCAGACAGGACCCTTGTCTGTTCCAGATTTTCTTCTTTCTTCTAGTTCCTCTCATTGGCCCTTTTTGTACAACTATCTAACTTCCACCTCTCGGGCTTACATCTCTTTATATCCACGAGTAACTAATTCTCCTTTTTCTGCTATCATCCCTTTCACCCCTGGAAACCTTTCTCTCTCCTGCATCACTTGTGGGATCACTTGCATCATTTAAGTGCAGATCCCTGGGTCCCATTTCCAGAGGTTCTGATTTTTGTAGGTCTGGTGAGGAGCCTAGAAATCTGCATTTGTAAACAACTACTTCAGATCATTCTGAAATAGGTGGTTTACATGGCATGCCTTGAGAAACATGTTGATATATTTTTTAAAAATTAGAAATGTTTTTGTGTCACTTTCAAAAACCTTTAAAGAGTCCCTGATGGAGACAAAATTTCAGAATCCTGTCATTGGATTTAATTTCTTTTCTTCCTTTCTCACTTAATTGCCTCCTTTCTTGCCCCTACAACTTCCTGGTCCAACACCAGTGACAGGAGGACTAATGGGAACTCCCAGAGAAACGGCCTAATTGGCCTCCTGGGCTGCAGGCACGAGTGGACAGAGCCCCCTCCTCACCTCTGACTGACCCTCCCTTTCCCAAGCAGAAGCTGTGTGTGCAGTGGAAGTGGCTCTCACCCCACCACTACGTGCATCACTGCTCTAGAGACTTTAGGACCAAGAGTTTTGTTTCTCTTTTTCTGAGATTTAAAAAAATTATTTATTTGTGTGTTGGGAGGAAGGTAATTAAGTTTATTTATTTATTTAATGGAGGTGCTGGGGACTGAACCCAAGACCTCACACATGCTAGGCTTGCACTCTACCACTGAGCTAAACCCTCTGCACTCTGAGATTTCATTTGAAGCCTGTCATGAGATCTTACCTTAATCCTTTTTTCCCTTTAAAATTAAAATTTTTATAAAATTATTTTTTAACTGATGTAGAGTTGATTTACAACGTTGTGTTAGTCTCTGGTGTACAGCATAGAGATTCAATTATATATATATTCTCTTTCATTATAGATTATTACAAGATACTGAATATAAATTCTTAATGGTTCTTCTTGCTATTTCCCTAACCCTCCTTACCCTGTCTGCCAGCCTGGGTCCTTGCCACCTTAGATTAACAATCTGAAAATTCCCTACTTGCTCTTGTCCTCTGCTCCTTCTTGCATCCTTTTCCGTATTAATGAATTCATTTTCAGCTAATGTTTAGGGAGTGTCTACAGTATTTAGGCCCTGCGCCAGGCATGAGATTTTGATCCCTACCCCCATTCCAGCTGGAAAAATGAAGTTCCCCTCATTTTGTTAGACATCTATTTTCAATCCCACAGTCTCCATCTTTTCATTGCAGGAGTCTCCAGTCCTTTAGACTTTAAGGGGCTAGGCTGGAATCTAGGAAGAAGTCAGTAGTTGTCTTATTCCTCTCAGTGGGGTATGTCCTGGGATGAGCTGTCCCCAGAGCCTGAGAAGGGCCCCCTTTACCTCTTGGTTCTTGAGGCTGTAGATGATGGGGTTGACCATAGTGGGTGAACACAGTGTAGAGGACAGAGAAGGCCTTCCGGAGGAAGGGGGCCATGTGGTCTCTTGGGGCTACGTAGACCACAATGAGGGTGCCATAAAACACCCCAACTGCACTGAGGTGGGAGGAGCAGGTGGAGAAGGCTTTCTGCTTTCTACGACCTGAAGGTATTCGCAGCACAGTCCGTAGGATGAAGGCATAGGATGTCACAATCAACAGGAAGAGGGCCAGTGTCAGGAAGGCTGAGATGCTCACTCCAGCTCCCCACATGACCCTCACATCACCACAGAACAGCCCTACAACTGGAGCAAAGTCACAGAAGTAGTGATCAATCTCCCTGCTGCCAGGGCAGAGGGGCAGACGGGCTGCCAGGGCCAGAATGAAGGCAGAGAAGGAGAAGCCACAGAACCAGGCTCCAGCAGCCAGGCAGCCACACAGCCAGGTGCTCATCAGAGCAGGGTAGTGAAGGGGGTGACAGATGGCCAAGTAATGGTCATAGGACATGGCAGAGAGTAGGAGGCGCTCTGCTGCAGCCAGTGAGGCAAACAGGTAGAACTGGAACAGACAGCTGACCAGCGAGATGATTTCCCTCTCTTCCAAGGAGCTCCGCAACAGCTGAGGCGCGATGTTGGAGGTGTAGCCAATCTCCAGCAGGGAGAAGTGGCTGAGGAAAAAGTACATGGGTGTGTGGAGAGTCCGACTGGAGGCTACAGCCAGCACGATGAGGGCGTTGCCCCCGACTATTATCACATCGATGGCCAGAAAGAGGGTGACGGCGAGGAAGCCCAGGTGTTGCAGCTCCCCAAAGCCCTCTAGGATTAGCCAGGTGGTCTGGTTCTCGCTGTCACTACTGGTCTGCTTCCTCATCTAGATCTGGGCCCAAGAGAATAGAAGAAGGCAATATTAACCAAGATAGGATTATGGCCACACACCATGCTTGGCTTATTCTTTTGTTCATCACAGCAAGCACTGGAGCCAGGCTTTGTTGTCTCCTATTTATAGAAGAGAAACTGAGACTCAGTGAATTCAAGTCAATTATTAAAGATCACGATGGTCGAGTCATGATTTGAACCCAGGTTTGCTTGACTCCAAAGCTCCTACATGGTCTACTGTCCTACGGTGCTTTCCCAAATCCTTTCTGAGTGATAGAAATGTCAGTACCAGAGAACAGTTTAGGGCTTTTCCAATCATCAAGAGCTATTTACCTGACAATCCTGGCTGAGCATGAACAGGAGAACCATATCTGGTAAACTCTTCTGGAAGGGTGTCCATGACTTCCTGGGGAGGTGGCCCTGCTCTGAGGTCATGCCCATTCCTGGAACAGCCACTCATCTCACACTATTTCCTTTTTCCAAGAAAATGAGACTAGGAAATCCTGATAAGCAGTATATACCACCTACTCTATGAGAGATGCCGTATAGAAAGATCTGAAATAACTTATATCCCACTCTCCTGGGAAACTATTCTTTGTCCTTGGACAAGTGGCCTGGTGACTGTTGGTAAAGCCGTGTTCAAACTTCTCCTAATCAGTTTGTTGGGAGTCTTTTTCTCTTGGTTCCCCTCCCCTATATTCCCTATACAGGTCAAATGCTCAACTTATCTCACCTAACTATGGATTCTTTAGAAACTTCTGCCCTGGCATAGGACTTCTTCTCTCACTTATAGCAGGAAGATAATACCAAACACACAGGAAGACCTTGATAAGTACTTGTGGAATGAATAAATAAATAAATTAGTTATAATAATTTTTCAACAGTAAATAGCCATGGAAAATTGCAGCCTCTGAAAAAGAGGCACTTAAAATGATTACTGAAAGAGAGAAGGAATCTCTGGGTCCTCCCCTAACTGATGGAATACTGGAATATTGCTACTCAGAGCCTGAGATGAAACCATGATTAAGATTGGAGGTGGAAGGGGTATGTGTATGTATGTATGTGTGCGTGTGCATGTGTGCGTGCGTGCGTGCGTGTGTGTGTGTTATGGTGAAGAAACCAGAAAGCCCAGTATGGTATAGAGTTTTCTCATTTTTGAAATTAAGAAAGATAACAGTCCACATGAGTAGATGGCAGCGAGAACAAAGGGTCTTTGTGTTCTTTTCCTGGTCCTACCTGTCCTGGTTTTGAGCTTACATCATGCAGATACACATTGGTCATAAGGAGGGGTATAGACATAGAGCAAATAGAATACTTTCATATGTTTTTGAACATATTTTGCCTTCTATGTACTGGTGACTTCTTAAAGAGCTATGGAGAGACTTGAGATGAGAATGGAATAGACTCTGGGTTTATTCCAGAGGGAAGAAGCTACTAAAGGGAAGAAGCTACTGAAACTAACCAAACCAACAAACCAAGTCAACTGACCCAGAACTTTTCACGTCTGGACTCTGTATCAATGCTGATGACCAAAAAGTTACTATTGCTCTTGCTAACCAGTGAATTTGACCTTAGTTCTGGTAAAATTCTTAGATGTTTTACAGAATGTTTGGAATTCTCATAAGGAGATGTCATCAGGAGCTATCTCATGTTAATTACAATGTGAAACATCACATAATGTCTTTTATTGATAGAATTAATAATTTAGTAGATTAAAAGTTAGTAGGTCCGGAGAAAGCAGTAGGAAAAGAACATGTTAATTTCACATAAAGCTTCACAGAAAAAGATGATGACTGTGAGCTTAATGAGAATACTCTTAGTGTGGCTACTATATGTCAAAATTATTCATTAATCACCATCTGAAAGTCTGACAAAGATGTCTAGTGAAAAGGAGACGGCTTTGGAGATCTTGTCTTCTTCAGCTATTTTAGCAGTGACTTCGACAGACACAGCAAATGTGCACGGCTCATCGAACTTCAGACGATAAGAAACAGAGGGGAAACCAACATTACAGGAGATAGAATTATAATTCAAAATAAGCTTGACTTTTGGAATGCTAGACTAAAACCAAGATGAAATTTAACAAGAGCACATACGAAATCTGCGTGTAGGCTTTAACAATCAGTTGATAAAGTACAGGAAGGGTAAGACCTAACTTGGTAGCCATCTGTGTGAAAATGACTTGAGATTTTTTTGACTATCATGAATTAGGACTTAGTAGCTGTGAAGTATGAAGAACATACAAAGAATGTGGAGATATTTAATCCGGAAAAGACAAAACTAATGGAAAACTATGATAGCTGGTTTCAGTACTGAAGGAATTCTTATTGAAAAAGAGGAATTATAGCTAGCCCACAGAGGGCAGAACAAGGACCAAGGGGGTGGTTGTGGTGGAAAACTCACACCCACCTACCTGTGCTGGTTTCGTCAAGATGATTCTTATGGGGCTAGCGATCGTTATTTACAGCATGATTTTGGGATCTGAAAATAAGGTAAATCTCACTGGAGAGGCTCAGAGTGGGGGAAATTAAGTTGTTTCCTAGAGCCTCCAGAAGTTTGTTGGCAAATATGGTCCCCCTTCAATGGAACTTCCTGGGACAAACACGAGACATTTAAAAAAAAAACATGGCAAGCTTCTAAATTTGTTTAGGTTGGGTCAGAGGTGCTTCTCTTTGTAAACAAAGAGTAGCGTTGACCCAGATGATTTCTAGGTGTGCAGATTCAGTAGAGAGCGGACTGACCAGCTTTGGGCTTGGAGTTAACTCCTTTTCTCCTGGTTGTCTTACCCCTGGACTAAACTCTTCTGCCAGCCTGCAGCTCTGTGGACCTTCTGCTTCTCTCCTCTGAAAGCTCCGTGCTGTTGGCTCCTTCCCACCCCAGCGTACTCGCAGAAGAGTGTTGTCTCCATTCTGCATATGTTGCTCTGGTCACTACTGTCTTTTCTAGAGCAAGATAGCCTCCTTCCCTTATGGGGGTTGAAAAAGAGCCTCCCTAGGGAGGAGAGGTAGCTTGGAGTCACCTGGATGAGCTGCATCTTTGTTTTTGTTCCAGGGGAATGTTTTAGTTCATCAGGGACCACATCCAGGTGTTTCACTCAAACCTAATGACTTTTTCCTCATGAAATAGGGACTGAAAAGATGTAAGAATAGCCGTGATCAAAATCAATATTTATCTAATAATTTATAAGTCATAAGCAAATATTAACTTATTTAATAAATATCTAATACTCAGAATGAACAACAAGGTGAAAGGTGAGTATGCTGTGATTTGTTCTTGTACCACTGTGGTGGATTATCTAGAGTATGACCTCAAAAGCCTAGATTAGCAGCCTTTCCACTCTGACATGGGTTATGACCTGGGGTCCTGATTTCATCCCTTAACAAGGAGGAGGCAGGAGGAAACGGCTTTATAATTCTGTAGATAATTTGTTCTGTTTAGTTTGGTGGTTTTTAACATCACAGATGTACATAAAACCAGGTCAGTCCCCTTAAAGAGAATGCAGGCAGATAGTAAGGTGCAGCTAAATGACAACGTAAAGAAGTCACCCTGCTGCAAGAACAAAGCACTGAGTTCTTTCCACAGGAAAGCAGGGAGCAGACCTCGGCCAGAAGGCAGACAGCACAGGGTCACAGTGGGGGGTAGGATTTTCCTAGTAACAGACTAGGATGGCTCTTCCTGGAAGAAACTGGACAAGTGTCTTACTTTAACATGTGAAAGGCAGAGTGGAAAGACTTGGATGAGGAAAAGGTGACCTGCAAAGAGTAAGGGGCAGACTGTCTCTGACGGAGTAGCTGAGAATAAAATATGGCTGCCTGGGTCTTGGGTTGTGTAAAGGGGGTGGGGGGGCAGTGAGAAAGATGAGAATAAGAGCCTTTTCTAGATAGAAAGGAAATCCAGTGTTTATTATAACTTAGAATTTATGATAATAGTCAAACATATCCAACTTGTGTTTAAAAGTTTAACGTCAGTGTTTTTTTTTTCCCCCGGAATGTTATCTGTGAGTTTAAAGTGAAAATAAAGGGTCTATATTCTGTTTTCTAGATATTAGATTATGTTTTTGTGTAACACTGTGTCCTGACATTAATTCATTCAAGAAATACTTATCAAGTATTTACAGTGTGTCAGGCACTGTTCTAGACTCTAGGTATATAGCAGCAAACAAAGCAAAATTTGGTTAGTAGAGTTATCTGGACTACTTTGTTCCCCATGCTTTGACGATGAGTCTGTATTACCCTGATCAGACTCCTCTTTCACCCAGAGCTGGCTTTTCTGAATGCAGAAATCCTGCCTGGGAGAAAATTCATTTTCAAAGGACTAGCTTCTTGTATCCATCATCCCAACTAACTGATACAAGCATCAAGAATGAATGGAGATTTGGTGCCAGCCATTATGGAAAACAGTATGGAGATTCCTTAAAAAACTGAAAATAGGCTCGCCCTGTGAGCCAGCCATTTGCAGCAACATGGATGGACCTGGAGTTCATCATTCTAAGTGAAGTAAGCCAGAAAGAGAAAGAAAAGTACCGTATGATTCTTGTAATAACCTTTAATGAAAAAAATATGAAAACGAATACATGTATGTATATGCATGACTTGGACATTGTGCTGTACACTGGGAACTGATGCATTGTAACTCATGGTACTTCAATTAAAAAAAACACCATATGATACCACTTACATGTGGAATCTTAAAAAAAAAGACACAAGTGAACTTATTTACAAAACAAAAACAGACTCACAGACACAGAAAACAAATGTATTGTTACCACAGGGGAAAGATGGTGGGAAGGGATAAATTGGGAGTTCGAGATTTGCAGATAATAATATATACAAAATAGATAAACAACAAAGTCCGACTGTATAGCACAGGGAACTATAATCAGTAACTTGTGATAACCTATAATGAAAAAGAATATGGAAAGGAGAAAAAAGAATGAATAGAGAGAATATATAAAGGTGGATGTCGTAAGACCAGATAGCAAAATAATGATACTAA